CACAGCCATGACTTGATACTTTCTACACAGTGTCTGCTTCACTTGCAGCAGCAAGGTTTTTGAGGACAGTGATATTTATCTATGTATCCCCAGGATCTCCCCCGGTGCAGTCACATGCCAAGCAATCAGCAAACGCCCATAAACAAATGGATGAGGTCTTGCAAAGGACATTAGGCCTGGAAGGGGTCCCATATGGCAGCATTCCTGCTTATTACAGTGTCTTTCGAACAGGCCTGACTGCACATTCTTAATGAGCAAGAATGGCATTTGCTTCAGTGCCTTGGGATCTTCAATGTAAGTAGTGAAAGGGCCATACATACCAAACACTTCATCCAGTTCATTGTCTAATTTTTTCTGGACTTCTGGATGGCAACTCAATAGGTACAAGGCCCAGTTTATTCCAGCTGCAGTTGTGTCATGGCCCTACAAATGTAAGAGAAAAAAAAAAGCTTAGAAAGCAGAGTTCTATTGAGAAGGTTAGGGATGCTAACTCTATTTTGAATTGTCTCTGGATTTGACAGCTGTGACGTGACCCCAGACAAGTTAATTTTATACAGTATGTTACCTCTGTGGGGAACAAACCAATGAAACAATCCCTTCAAAGGGGATGCCTCTGGGTACAGGGACATTTCAATATGACAGAGTCACATACTTGGTGAGAGTGGCTGGGCTGGGCTAACAGGGGGCATTCCAAGGGCATTCTGTGCGCTGGACTGTTTTTGAGGGAATAAAAGTGTGACTTTCCTGAGCCAAGTGGCCAGATCTGCATTTCTCCACAGTCCCCCATTTGTATGGTTGACTTCACCCGTACTCCAGGGAGCACATGGGTGATTCTGAGCAAGAGTCTCCACATCAAGAAGTTGATAAATTGCCCCATTTAAACCTTGATGAGTTTGAGGCAAAATACCAAACATTTTGCAGAAACGAACTCAATTATTTTTCACAGAAAATCCATGGGGGCCCGTCCGGCGTGGCTCAGTGTTTGAGTATCGACCTATGAACCAGGAGGTCATGGTTCGATTCCTGGTCATGACACATGGGGTTGTGGGCTCAATCCCCAGTAGGGGGCATGCAGGAGGCAGCTAATCAATGATTCTCTCTCATTATTGATGTTTCTGTCTCTCCCCCTCCCTTCAATAAAAATACATTTCTCTGAAATCTATAAAAATATATATATATTTAAAATCTCCATGGGATTCTTGATACTGCTATTCACATTTTAGAGATTGACAAACTGAGCCCCAAACTGAGCTACATGACTTTCCCAGGGCCCAACAGCTTCATAGGAGGTGGAGGCAAGAATAGGACCCTCAGAGTTTCTGATGACAAAGCTGAGTCCACACTCTCCACCTCGGGGAGTGTGGAGGATCCGGGGTGAGGAGACTCCAGCTCCAATACTGATGCTCACACCCTGGTTGACCTTATTCTCTATCCGTTCAGGGTCTTTAGGCATCAGCCCCTTATTTACTGTCCTCATCTCACCAGGACACTCCACATGCATAATGGTAAGTTCTTCAGAAAAAAAAATGTATTTGAAAAAAAAAAGATACTATTATAACTCTTACTGGTCCATTTACCCTATGCAACACAAGTGACCATTGTAATATTTCATCTCCTGGAAGAAGTCTCTGAAGCACTTGTTTTAGCTCCTAAGTGGAATTGTTCAGGACTTTTCTGCAATTTTCTGATGTTGGCATTATTGTCTTTTCTCATACTTGCAATTTCTTTACAGAAATGACCCTGAAGTCCAGACAAAAGCTGGCCCATGTCACTCAGTTGTTTAGCAAAGTCATAGAGGACGTGCTCTTGCTAAACAATTCTAATAGCTTCCCTTGAATTTGAAAATGAAGTTCCTGTTTTATTTTTTTCTGTGACCCAAAGGCAGCAAATACAAAGCACAGAGCCAACACTTGCATTGGCGGAACTGCGCAGGGCAAGAATCAGCCACACCAGGAGCCTAAAAGGCCTGGCACAGACATAGAAGCATGGAACAGATTGTCTGTTCCATCTCAGAGGGAAGGAGGGGGTGGGTGTGTAAGGGAGTGGGAAGAGATCAACCAAAGAACTTGTATGCATATATGCATAACCCATGGACACAGACAAGAAGGTGGTGAAGACCTGGGGTTGGGGGCAGGAGCAGGCTATAAGGGGTTATTGGGGGAAAACGGGGGACATATGTAGTACTTTTAACAATAAAGATTTTTAAAATAAATAAAATGAAATTTAAAAGTAAAAAAATAAAATAAAAGGCCTGGCAGCAACAGCCTGCATCCTCTTACGGAGGAGATCAGAATATTGTAGTTATACATGCTATGTTCTCTATTTCATGGGTAGAAGAGAAAAATTAGAACTTCAAAGAATGTTAGAGCTGCAAGAAAGAGATCATTAGTCTGGTTGTTTTTGTGGAAGTGAGAGGTTACTGGTGGGAGATGGATGTGTATGTGCAGGTGTGAGTGTGTGTGTAAGTGCACGTGTGAGTGTGTGTATGCACGTGTGGGTACAGGGGCCATTTCAACATCAGACACCAGCCGTTATGTGTTGCACAAGAATGTGCCAGGCACGATGGTTGGTGCACATTAGAAAACTATGCACCTAGTCCTCAGAGCTGTTCTGTGAGGCCCGTGCTATACCAAGGAGGACACAGAAGTCTCAAAAGGGAGCCTGAGGTCATTCTAGTATAGGTCAGAGCTGGGATTTGGCTCCACAGCCCACATTTTAGTGAAATACTTGTAGATGTCCATTTTCTGCATAATGTTTCTTTTCTATAAAGTGATCTGCTTAAAATAGCAGTTTAAAACCACTGATATAGTCCATCTTTCCACTTTCCACACAGGATGACTGTGGCAGAGATCTGCAATGACTGGGCCTGTCTCGTATGGCCAGTCAGCACAGACCTGGGAGAAGTCAGGTCTGTGGACCCTTCGCACCGCTTGCTTCCTGCTACAGGGCACAGAGCTTCCTCCCTGGGGAGGCACTGCACCCAGGCGGCTGCAGGCAGAGCAAACACAGTGCATGCAGTCTGCCATTGAACACTGATGGCTTTCTCTTTCTTCTATTTCCAGGATATTCCACTTGCTGCCTTTTAAAACCATTTCTTAATCTTTATTTGGTAAGCCACATGTTAAGAGCTTTTCTATTTATAATATTTAATGTCGTTACTTGTAAAGTTATCTTTGTGAAAAACTCGTCTTTTTGTCCAGCCGGTATGGCTCAGTGGTTGAGTGTTGACCTATGAATAAGGAGGTCATGGTTCAATTCCTGGTCAGGGCACATTCAGGAGGCAGCCAATCAATGATTCTCTCTCATCATTGATGTTTCCATCTCTCTTTCCCTATCCCTTTCTCTCTCTCCTTAAAAAAAAATGAATAAAACTATATATTTTTTAAATTTGTCTTTTTTTTTTTAAATGTAAAGACCAGAAATCTCTTTAGAATCACAAACTGGTTAACTATCTACTAGAAGGAGCTGGGAAGATGGTGGCTGGCAGGACAGAGTTGAGGAAGAAGGTTTGAGTGAGTGAGGAAGTGACAGGGGAGTGTGTGGGAATGAGTGAGGGACAGTTAAAACCGGCAGGAGTATCAGAGGCTGGCAGACCAGGCTCTTCTGGACAGGGAGCCCCTACCACCGCTGCGGGCACTCCCCCGGCTGTGGGGATCGGGCAGGGAGCACACACCATCTTGAAGGGGAGAGGAGCCTCCTCTAGGAACTTATCAGCACCACCACCCAGACTAGCTTTGGACACCGCCTGCGACCCTGCAGCCACACCAGACGAAGTCATGCCGCCTTGTCCGCAGACCTGCAGACCCTAGGACACCTACCTCCAAGGGAGCACAGATCCCGCAGCAGTAAGTGGGACTTCCCCCTCCCTGGCTGCCGACCTCCAGACACCGTGGTCACGCCAATCCAGTGCACAGGCACCCTGAGTCTGCCACCCTGGCAGAGGGCTCTCTGGTGCCTCTGTAAGCCCCTGCTGGGTGCGCACATATCCAAACAAGAGCGCACGGCCCTGGCAGTAGAACCTCGGACTTCCCACTTCCTGGCTGCCTGCCCACAGATACAGTGATCATGTGGTTTCAGCACACAGGTCCCCTGAGTCCTCTGCCCTGTGAGCAGCCTATGGCGCACTCATATCCAACTAAGGGCAGACGACCCTGGCTGCAGAAACTCGGACTTCCCCCTCCTCGACTGCCGATCTCCGGTCCCCGCAGTGGCACCAATCCAGCGCACAGCCCTCTTGAGCCTGCTGCCCTGGCGGGTGGCTCCCAGGTGCCTCTCAGAGCCACAGCAAGGCATCCAGTTCCCAAGGTAGCGCTGCGGAAGCATACAAGCACCCTGAGCTCACTGTCGCAGCAGACAGCTCCTGGGTGCCTCTGTAAGCCGCCGCTGGATGCATGTATCCAACCAAGGGAACACAGCTCGCAGGACAGAAACTGGGACTTCTCGCTCCCCCGGTTGGCGGCACACCAAGATCTTGCAGCTCCAGCTTATGGGCCCCATGAGCACACAGCCTCAGCAGATGGCTCCTGGGCCCCTCTGTGAGCTGCCATTGGGCGTGTGCCTCTCCAACCAAGGGCACACGGCTCCCTCAAAAGGATACATGACATCTCCTTCCCGGCTGCCTACCTCTGGACACCTTGGTGAGTTACTGAGGACCCTCCTCCCCAGACAAGGTCATATTGTTTCAGCCATAGACTCTGAGATTTCCACAACCCCAGATGCTGGATCCTGAACCCCCTTGTCATTCAGAGAGGGAAATCACTTTGGCCAGAGTTCCACTGCCTCAACCGCAGACTATGGGACAGCGGTCTCCCACTGTCTCAGGCTCTGGGACCCTCGTAGTGAGTTATAGAGTGACGCTACCCCAGCAAGAGTCACACAACACCAGCCAAAGTCAAAGGACCTGAGCCTCAGGCCCCAAGACCCCTTCCTCCCAAGCCCATGCACTCTGGGAACTCATAGTGAGCACATACCAGTGAGACTTCAGGCAACCCTTTCCACAAGTGCTGGAACCATGATCACATCCACAACAGCTTGCACAACGAAGGTGGAGGTGAGTCACATTGCCAATTTGTGACGAAACTTCATCCACGAATAAGAAACTAACACTCAAGATCCAAGTACATCAAGAGAACCCAAATAGCTCAAGTAGGCGACTCCGCTAGATCACCAAGCCCAGGAGATCTGAGAAACTGCACCACTTGGTCCAAAAAATCACCAACTACACAGGATTATCCCCAAAAGAACCTGGTAGCAAAGCAGTTGGATCTAAGACATAGAAACAATTAAAACATTACAGCAAATAGTGGGGAGACATAAAAACAATCCCCAAAGGAAAGAAATAAAGGAATCAACAGAAAGGGAATTAAATGAGATGGAGGCAAGTAACTTGTCAGAGAAAGAATTCAGAGTAATGGTTATAAGGATGCTCAAACATCTGGATGACAAATACACACAATTCAATGAGAATTATAAGAAGCTGAATAAGAATGTCACCAACATGAAAAGGAATCAAGAGGAAATGAAGAATGACCTAGCTGCAATAAAGAACATAAAGAAAGGCTTCAATAGCAGACTTGAAGAGGCTGAGTACCACATCAGTGAATTAGAAGACAGGGTAGGAAAAAACACACAAACACAGCAGCAATTGGAAAGAAAACTTAGAAAGCAGGAGGTGAGCCTAAGGGAGCTTTGGGACAACAAGAAAGGAAACAACATCCACATAATAGGGGTGCCAGAAAGACAGGAAGAGGAGCAAGGAATAGAAAACCAGTTTGAAGAAATAATGACAGAAAACTTCCCTGATGTTGGGAAGAAAGAAAACCATACAAGTCTACAACTTTTTCTGAAGAAGAAAGTTGATCTGGTATTTAATTAGGGTCTTAAATTTTGTAATTTCTAACTACAATATAATGACTCTTCATCAGTGATAACAAGCTACTTCAAAATGTAATCAGACTTATAAAAAATGCTAAAAACTTTTTAAAAGAATTCCTAGAAATTATTTTTTTAAGTTAAAAAGAAATTGAGAACAGATATCCCTTATACCAAGGATCCCAACATATTTTAAAAGGTGAGTACAAATAATTCTTGCTATTTCATGTTATTTCTAATTTTATTATTCAATGCTTTAACAGGTCTATTAGTGCTGGCTATTTCTTCATCCTTAGCAAATCCCAAGATTAAAAACAAATATTTTCTTGTTATGTAACAGGAACTGTAATTTGTTTAATGATGATACCTGAGACTAACATGACAATACAAAATACCTCAAACATGAAAGTGTCCACTTCTTCTCGAATAGCCTCAAGGCTGAGCTTGTTCCCTTCATCATCCATCACATTTAAAAGCAGGTCGAGAAAAGCCTTGCGTTTTCTCTTGGAGAGGTTCATGACTTTGTCATCAGTTTTACGTTCTTCATCTCTCTTTATTTCATTGGCCCGTTCATTGATGACCTATATGATTTAAATGATCACATGCTTTAGTGTAGAATTTGATATGGCCTAATAATCATTGTCCTGTCAAAATATACTAGCTTCTTTAACTGATTTTTTTTCTAAGCCTTTCCTGTTCTGTCTCACTGAACAGGAACTTTTGTTTTTATGAAAATATAGTAAAGCTTTCCGTGAACATTTTTAGGGCGTTATTTGATATAAGACTTTTAAAAACAAATTTAATGTCAGACAAATACATCATTTCCAAGGACTATTTTTGCAGCCTTTCCAACATGGGAATAGAGTAGTAGTCTAATGAATAGGGCCACAGCGACTTGAAAGAGCTCATGAGAAAAAGTTGGGTCATAGTGAGAACACAATCATCATATAATAGACTAATTATAAATCACTCTAATTACGTGTTGTATTGGAGAAAAGAATCACCATGTATGCTTGTCGCTCCTTCTGCCTAAAATGCTCTTGCCTCAGAAGCCAGCATGACTAGCTTCCTCCCTAGTTTAGATCTCCACTGCCCATTGTCACACTGTCAGGGTCACTGCTACCCTAGTCCCTAGCACTCACTCTCTTCCTAAGCCTGCTTTACCTTTTTTTCCATTTTACTTACCACCTGGCATTGTATTTCTTATTGAGTGACTTTCTCCTCCAACTTTAATGTAGCAGCAAATTTTTCTTTATTCATTGATATATTTCCAAACTTTAGAACACTGCTTGGCATTTTAAAAATGTTCATCAGGCCCTAACCAGTTTGGCTCAGTGGATAGAGCGTCGGCCTGTGGACTGAAAGGTCCCAGGTTCGATTCCAGTCAAGGGCATGTACCTTGGTTGTGGGCACATCCCCAGTAGGAGGTGTACAGGAAGCAGCTGATTGATGTTTCTCTCTCATCGATGTTTCTAATTCTCTATCCCTCTCCCTTTCTCTGTAAAAAATCAATAAAATATATTTTTTTAAAAAAAATAAACATCCCTTTAAAAAAAATGTTCATCAGGTATGTGTTGAATGAATAAAAAAATGAAAGCCCCTGAGCTTAATTTGGTTACACATTTCAACTTTCTCCTCCTTTCAGGCAATTGTCCAAACCTGCTTCTGCTTTGAATGAACAGATCCCAAACTCCATAAGGGCAAGCATCATGTCCTCTCTTTGATTCTTGGTGAAACCCCTAGTGCCTGGTACTTAGTATGCAATTTTTGATATTATCCATCCAATTTGGAATTCATTCATTATTGATACTGATATTAATGCATGAAATTTGAAGACAAGTGTAATCTACACTGATAAAAGACAAAGATGCTAATTGACCATACCTTCACTACACCCACCAATCAGAGCGACTATATGCAAATTAACCCAACCAAGATGGCGACCGGCAGCCACGGAGCTGGAGCAAGCAGGAGGCTTGGTTGCCCGGGTGATGAAGGAAGCCAAGCTTCCTGCCTGCCCTGAGCCGGCTGTGGCCTCCGCTCATGGCAACAAAGTTTCAATTATAGAAGACAAATAAATCCCAGATACCTGCTTCCAGCCAGCCTCCACTGGGAGCTTGGGGGGCTGGGGGCCGTGGCCAGCCTGCAAACAGCCATCAGCCCCTCACCCAGGCTGGCCAAGCACTCCTATATAATAAAAGGGTAATATGCAAATTGACCATAACAGCAGAATGACTGGGAATGACTGGTAACTATGACACACAGTGACCACCAGGGGGCAGATGCTCAATGCAGGAGCTTCCCCCTGTTTGTCAGTGCGCTCCCACAGGGGGAGCTCTGCTCAGCCACAAGCCAGGCTGATGGCTGCCAGTACAGCGGTGGTGGTGGGAGCCTCTCCTGCCTCCTCAGCAGCGCTAAGGATGCCCAACTACAGCTTAGGCCTGCTCCCCGCTGGCAAGTAGACATCTCCCGAGGGCTCCTGGGCTGCCAGAGGAATGTCTGACTGCCAGCTTAGGCCCAATCCCCCGGAGAGCAGGCCTAAGCCAGCAGGTGGTCACCCCCTGAGGGGTCCCAGACTGCGAGAGGGCACAGACCGGGCTGAGGTACCCCCCCGAGTGCAGAAATTTTTGTGCACCGGGCCTCTAGTTATACTTATAAAATACAAACTGTTCACCATTCACCTATTGCCAGACAATTTTGCTATACTCCACTGAGGGCAGCTCACTCCAACATCTCAGTCATCTAACATCTAGACAATCTAACAACTTGATCTCTTGGTGGAGGAAGTACCTCATTGTCAGGAAGCAATGCCATCATATTTTAAACTAAAATTTACAGCAAAGAACAAATATAATTACTTCAGCACTTTTATCAGTACATTTAAATTATAATGCATGTTTTCAATTAAAGTTTGCCTTTTCTAAACATACTTTTAACACAAAGACAGACTATATCCAGAACATTACTATTTCCTTGTCATTAAAAATTAAATAATAATATCTAGTTAATTTTTATCTTTTCCAGTGTAAGATACTGCTATAAATGCCTTTTGTCTTGGAAAACTATTGCCTAATCCAAATATTTTGCAGAAGATTCTTATAATACAGACCCTGTGTCTTTATTCTCTTAGCATAGCACCCAGTTTCTTAATAAACTACCATACCTCATATCACATTTTGGAATTATTTATTTATAGACAACCTCCCCCAGTAGACTATCCTCCCCCAGTAGGGAACATTAATGACTGGGCATGTTAACAAACATAGGAGTCATGCACTTATAAAAGTTCTAGAAAGTGATAGTGGTAGGGGTTGCACAACATTGTTAATGCCCCTAATGCCACTGAATGGCACACTTAAAATGGCTATTATGATCAATTTTATGTTATGTATGTTTGTCCACATTTAAAAAAATGAGGACTTACATTGGTGGTAAAATTATGTAAGATCTTAAGGTTCCTTTTGTGGTCCCTTCCTTCTTTAAACAAAAGGTACAATACGTCATGCCAGAACCAAATCGTCTTCATTCTTCGATGTAGTAAATCAGTCATCCTATAAACAGGATGCAAATGTATCAGCTGATATATCAAAAATGTGCATTGCTTGAGTATCTATTTGGTGCCTGGTCTCAATGAGGGTAATATGTGGCAACGATGATAATTCGTCTTAGCGGCTACCAAGAGCTCTATGCTTTATGCTCAACAATGAAGGCATGGGTTATTACACATCCAAGGAAGCTTAAAAATTAAATGGGTCCTTTAGAGGAATGAAGAATACATTCCAAAACATCTTTATTAAATGGCCATCTGATCTCTCCTTCTATTTCTCCAGGAAGAGTTCCGGACCACCCCAAGCTGCCTGTAGCTCTTATAGCACAGGGTGGGGTGAAATCTGCCTGTTTAATGTCCACGCATTTGCTTGATCACTCCTCTGCTATCCTCTTCTCCAGGAAAGTGCCCCTCTGTCACATCCCTGTCCCAAGTCCCTCCCTCAACATTTCCAGTGATGGAGCAGACAGACCTAGACATGATCTCCTCCTTAGAGAGCTGCTTACAGGCCAATTCTGCAGAGCGGTCTTTCCTGGTCACTCAATCTGTGGGCCCTATTGCTGTTTTCTTCTCAAATAGCAACTTTATTTTTTCTTTCTAAGCAATTATTATAGTTTATAAGTTTATACTTATTTGTTTTGATGCTTGTATCCCTGTTATTCTGTACTGTGGACCACTATAAAACTAGTCAGTATCTTGTGTAATGAATGGCAGATTATATCTTATATAATAAAAGCCTTACATGTAGAGTCTGGTCCTCCATTCGGCCATTCAACCAATCAAAGTTTAATATGCTAATGATATGCTACAGCTGCACAACTGCTCACTATGATGTGCACTGACCAACAGGGTCAGATACTCCAACCGGTACATTAGCTTGCTGCTGGGGTCCGGCTGATTGGGAATGAGCGAGATGGGCCAGACACGCCCAGGAGCCTTCCCAGGGTCCCGCCCTGGCTGGCCAACCTCCAGCATCTCTCCTTGGCCCTGATCGTGCAATGGTGGTGTCCCTTTGCCTGGCCTGTGTTGTCTTGAAATCCGGGTCAGGGGACCACCCCCGGCCCGCCCCCAGGTGCACGAATTTTATGCACCAGGCCTCTAGTAAGCTAATATGTGTTAAAATGAAATGGGCAGTGGACTTAAAGACAGAATTCCTCAAATCAAACCCTGGCCCTGCCTTTTAATACTTGAATAATCTCAAGCAATTTTTCAAAGTACAGTGGGGCCTTGACTTAGGAGTTTAATTAGTTCCATGACGGAGCTCATAACTCAAATTACTCATATGTCAAATCACTGTGATGTTCACTGCGCCAACTAGCGTGGGGTATCTGAAGCTGGCTCGTAACCCGAATTTTTTTGAGTTTGCAACTCAAAGCAAAAAATCGGCCGAGAGACGGCTCGTATCTCAAAAAAACTCGTTAGTTGGGACACTCGTAAGTCAAGGCCCCACTGTAAATATGACTATTTCAATTAAAAAATAATACATACTGAGTGCAGAAAATATGGGAAGAAATAATAACAACTCAAACAAGAAAGAGAATCACATAACACAAAATAATAATCACAGCTAACATTATGGAATAATATCTACAAGTTTTTTTTAATGAATAATTTTTTAAACCTAGTAGTTATCATGCTAAAAATATTGTTTTTATCTCAATGTTATCACTAATCATCATAATGTAATTTCTCAATATATCATAAAATAATCATTAAAAATTATACCATAGCCTGGGTGTGCCACATTTTATACAATAAATCCTTTACTGTTAAAATACATGCTTAAATGATTAGATTGATTTTTAGTGCAATATTTCATTGTGAAACAATGAAAAAGATACAACACAGACAAAAAATTATTAGCAATATTTTTTAAAGCTTGAATCAATAACAATTTTAAAAATAATTAGAAGGGCTCTGTTTACCTATAAACTGCACGGACATACTCAGAATCATCATTAGTCTGAGCATCAATACTCTTGCCCATAGCTGTTTCTGCAAAATATGGGTGAGAAGCAACCATTCAATTCATATACATGCCTTCTGTTTATGCTCCAGTGGCAAACACTTCAAAAAAGACATAAATTCTTATATATTTTAGAATTGTTCCTTTCCCTCTTTCACTCTTGCACCTTTTGTTTCTACTACTCCCTGTTCCTACTCCTGTTTCCCTCTGACCTTCCTGGCAGGTTGGCTCTGCTCCAAGCCCTAGTAGTTGGTCCTGCTTCTCAGGAGACTAATTTAGCAGAAGGACTACCCCAAAGAAGCCAATATCCTTTCTAACCCCTTCATTTGCATCCCCAGTGAATTGTTATTTTCTATTTAGGCCATTGTATGTTTACACCATAGCTCTAGAAACAAATCCATGAGACTTACCACAGATTATATCTAAGGCACAAAGAGTGATGTAAAAAAAGCAGTTAAATTTTTCTCCATCAACATGTTTTTCAAGCTTATTAACCAATATGTTGGCTTGTTCATTCATGACACCTAAGAAGTCTTCCAGAATGGTAAAATGGAAAGTGGGTGTTAACATTTTTCTCCTGGAGCGCCATTTGTTTCCAGTACTAGAAATACAAGACATGGTTACAAAGAAGAGAAAAGCAACATCCAAAGCAAATAAAGCATAGTCAAGACAACAAATTCTTCTTAATCTACAGATTCCCAAATGCTTTGGTCAAAATGTCAAGGGGAGATTCATATACAGTTACAGGATGGGCATATTTTAGATATTCTTCTATATTACCAATGTTTAAAAGAGCACTCACCAAATTTGAAAATTTTAAAAATTTTTCTAAATTTCTAAGTTCTGAGTTTCCAAAAGTTAGAAATTTCCCCCCTTTATCCAACCTCAACCCTCTGAAGGTCAAGGAGCTCCATGAGTCTACTTTGAAATTTAATATCTTCGAAGTCTCCAAAGTCCCCACCAAAGTCCTGCTTTCTGTTTCTCAGTTGATGGGGTCCTGTTGCTGCATGCCAGCTCAAGGATTGAATTACTGTGCTCAACTTACTTCTCTGGGGATGACTGCTTTTTCATTGAATTTCAAGAATTCCCTGTACAAAACTCCCCTGTGCCGTACTCCATTTATACATTGGGACTTTCTAACTCTCCTTGGAACACTGGTGATCATCATTATTGAATACCATGGCTGGAGATTACTCTACACCCTGGGTTCCTGTCTCTCAGAGGCCCATTACCACCCAACCTTTCAGCTTCTCCCTACTACCCAACAGCACATTCTTGCTACAGGAAAACTACCCAGGGTCAATGCCTGACATAAGTTACGCACAAGACAGCTTTACCAATTTACACTGACTTACCTTGTAAGAAGTCCTAGGCCAAGCCATGGTTGTACAAACCTGTACAGATAAGACTTGTCAATTTGCTCTGAGCTAGTTAAAATTACCTTAGAAAGAGAGAAAAGAAAAATGAGAGATAGAGATATGAAAGCAACCTTAATTATAAGAATGCTAAACTGGAACACAACGACTTTCTAAAGTAACATTTCATAACAATTACTTCTTTGTGGTTCATTTTCATTACTATGACTCAAAGAAATTTAACTTGTGTTGGAGCATACAACTGTCTCTAACTCTTGGAGACTAGCTGGAGTTGATTGAAAGGAAAATGTCCAAGATAATTCCCTGACTCCTCCCATGAATTAGGAGCCAAGTGCAGTTGTTTATTGAGGGTAGGAGTGAGGGAAGAGAAGGTGGGTGAATCAAAGGATGACCACATTTAGGGAAATGGAAATCACAAGTTCATTATCAGGTATGTTGATTTGGAGGCATTCATGTTGACATAGTCTGAAAGCAGGTATGAAGCTCAGGATTAAGGTTTATACTAGGTACACATTTGAATGTCTCCAGGATAGAAGTAGCATTGGGAACCATGGGTATAATTAGGTTGCCTGGAGTCAAAGTAGAGGAAAAGGGATGAGCATATGCACAAAATGCTTCTCAGGATCTTGCTGCAGTTCCCTACTTTGGACAGATCTCTATCCACATATACTAAGCCCACTTATACTAGGCCATCAATGGCTGAAATCCCACCTGTGGCCCTCTTGTATCTCCTTCGGACCAGATTCTGTAGTGTGGTACCAGAGACACTCTAAGAGTTTTACCACAATGAGTAAGAAAAATGTATCCAAGCCCAACAACCCTAGGAAATTCTGCTGTTAATTTTTCTCCATGCAGAGAAGGTCTGTTTATCCCATTTTTACTTAATGATCCAAGTCCATTGTCATCAAACCATAAGATAATACCCCAAATGTCATGATAATAAGTAAAAGATAGCTATACAATTTATTTAGGAGTAATTTCAATAGCGTGAATTAACAACATCTTCCCCATCGATATCAGATTAATGTTCTCTTTTTAAAAATTAACTTGAAATAATAAAAGTATAATGGATACTCTGAGCATCTTAAGGGAAACACATAAATTTCATTAGTCTTATATTTTTGTAATCTTAAACGAGTGCCTGGCAGATGATATGAGCTCACCATGTAGAATAATCTATTTATGGTTCTGTTCAACTGAATACGTCCCAAAAAGGGAGGACAAATACATTACCTGATACCAAATGTGTATAGACATATAGAAGCTGCTACTCTTCTCAGAACTCAGACTATATCTGGAAATCGTTAAATGGCACCTTCACAGCCTTAGAAATTTAATGGAGTCCTCACTGTATTGAATTCAATTAAATATAAGGACATATATTTGCTGTTTATTCTGATGAGATTCTCACACCATCAAATATACAATGAAGCATTGATCATAGTCACCATCGACTCACCTCTATAGTTTCGGCCTTATACATGGCTATTACTGGTACTGTGCCAAGCCAGGCTTTTACCATTGGCACATGTCTGTTTTGTTCAGTATAATAAATCACCTGCTGGAAAAACTCTAGGAGAAAATATTTAATTTTAAATAAGTTCCTTACTGTGTCTTTTTTGTTTCTTTTTACTCTTTTAATTTTGGGCAACTCTCTCAATATCTCCCAGATCTTTCACATCTTGAAGCTAAACCACACAGTTGTCCTTACTAAATATTTAATGAATGAATTATGAGGCTAATTTAATTATGAATGATATATATGCAACAACCTGGTTAACTGAGAAATGCCAAGCACTGTGGATGTTTGTGGTGACCTTATGACATACCTTCCCCAAGAACACCGAGGTTGTTCAGTTTCTCCTGACCTGCTTCAGTCTAGTGTTCTATAGAAAGGGATACCTGTCCCAACTCTCCAGCCCTGATAGATGCTTCCCTTTCACCCTCTCTAAAACAGTATTGAAGTTCCTCAACAAATTGAGGTTAGAGCTACGATATGATCCAGCAATTCCTCTTCTGGGTATTTATCTGAAGAACATGAAAACACTAATTCAAAAAGATATATGCACCCCAACGTTAACTGCAGCATTACTTACAATAGTGGAAGCAACCTTAGGTGTCCATTGATGGATGAATGGATAAAGAAGATGTGATAATATTGGGCCAGCTGGCATGGCTCAGTGGTTGAGCGTTGACTGGGTCAGGACATACGCCCGGGGTTGCAGGCTTGATCCCCAGTGTGGGGCATGCAGAAGGCAGCCAATCGATGATTCTCTCTCATCATTGATGTTTCTCTCTCTCTCCCCCTCCCTTCCACTCAGAAATCAATAAAGAATATATATATATATATATATGGTGTCTATATATATATAAGATAAAATATTGACATTTGTGATAACATGAATGGATCTTAAGGGTATTATGCTAAGTGAAATAAGTCAGACACACAAGGACAAAAACAGTCTGATTTAACTCATATGTAAAATATAAAACAAAAAAGTAACAAATGAACAAATATAACAAAATAAAAACAAATTCAAGGATATAGATGACAGAATAGTGGTTATAGGGGAGAAGGAGAGTGGAGAGAAGGCAAAGTAGGTAAATGGGTTTAAACAAATGGTAATAGATGGAAACTAGACTTTTGGTTGTGAGCACCCAAAAGAGTATACAAACATCAAATTATACTACTGTACACCTGAAATTTAGATAATGTTATTAACCAATGTGACCTCAAGGAAAAAAAATAATTAAAAAAAACTCTTGTTTTACTAATCCTTCAACTTCTCAAATGTCTCAGGGCCTCTATAGAACCTCTTCTCTTTGTAGGAAACTCTTATTCCTACTGCTTTTTGTCTAATAAAACTGACTTATTTTTCAAGTGTCATCTTAAATGTGATTTTGCTGCAAAGTCTTCTGTGATATTCTGAACAAGATTTCTGGTAATATAACTTCCCAGATTGGCTCCCATGTCTAGTACAGGCACCAGATCTCAGTATTTCTAAATACTGTCCTACAATAAAATAAGCCAATTTTCCTTGGAGAAATCATTGATTTTAGGGCCGAGGCAGAGAAAAATACAAGAAGAGTGGAATATATTATGGTACCGGAAAATAAGGAAGTGCTCAAAAAGTGATGGGGCCATGTTGAAACACCAAGCAGCCAACCTGAAAAGCTCCTAATGCTCCAAACAGGGACACTTTGTGCAATAGAATAAGTAATGATAGAATTAGTTTGTATCACTTCTCTAGCCAATATCTTATAGTTTTCAGTGTACAGGACTTTCACCTCCTCGGTTAAATTTATCCCCAGGTGTTTTATTCCTTTTGATGCAATAGTAGTCCATTGATAGCATAAAGAAATGCAAGTGGTTTTTGTATATTGATTCTATACCCTGCAACTTTACTAAATTTATTTATTAATTCCAACATTTCAGGGGGTGGAGTATCTAGGGTTTCCTATATGAACAATCATGTCGTCTGCATTCTTTTTCTTGCCTAAATGTTCTGACTGGCACCTATAATACTATGTTGAATAAAGTGGTGAGAGTGAGCATCCTTGTCTTCCTGATTTTAGAGGGAACGTTTTCAACATCACATATGGTGTTCTTGCCAAAAATGCATAACCTCAATGAAACTCTGATAAAACAACAGACAAATCCAAACTGAGAGTGATTCTACCAAATACCCGTTTCAGAAAATGTGTCAACGTCTTGATGTGTATGGAAAGACTGATAAACGATCACAGATTAGAAAAGATTAATATTGAAGAACATAACACAAGGAAGCACAACTCCTATATGCCAGGTGAGATTTTGAATTGAGTCATGGAACAGAAAAAGAACACTAGGAAGTGTTGTAAATTTCAAATAAGGGCTGTAGTATTGTTAAGAACATTGGACAAATAATAATGTTCTAGTTTTATAATGATACTAATTCTGTAAAATAACACCATCAGAGCAGGCTTTCTGGGTATATGGCTTATGCGAACTCGATATTATTTTTACAAGTTTCCTTTAGTTCTAATATTATTTGAATGAATAAAGTTTTATAAAGAAGGGGAGTTTTATTATCTGAAGCTGAAGAATAAAAGGTAAGCTGGAGTAAGATTTAAAAATATTTTGTTAGTAGAAGAGAAACACATACACACAATATCTATATATATAAAAACCTCATATGCAAAGTGTCCCCTCGGGAGTTTGACCAAGTGGGAGTTCCATCGCTACCTATGACATGTGCTGACCACCAGGGGGCAGTGCAGACCGAAGGAAGCCCCCAGCCGATGGCTGGCAGCTGCTAGGGAACCTACCATGCACAAATTTTGTACACTGGGCCTCTATTCTATACTAATGAAAGCCTTGGTGGCCCTCGTGTGTGATGTCATCACAATATGGCTACCAAAAGATGACTGCCAAAAGGTGGCCACCACAAGATGGCTGCCACAGGATGGTCGCCACAAAGATGGCCACCACACAGTGACTGCCACAAGATGGCCACACGCACAGCTGAGGTGGGGCCCGGTGGCCATTCCGCAAGGTGAGGCCTGGGGGTCCCGCAGCTCCACGCAGTGCAGAGAAGACCGGTCTTTGCAGAGGAGGTGAGTCGTGGCAGGAGAGGACATTTGTGGGCAATCAGGCTGGCAGGGAAGGACAGTTGGTGGTGATCAGGCCAGCAAGGGAGCAGTTAGGCGTCAATCAGGTCGGCAGGGGAGCGGTTAGGGGGCGATCAGGGTGGCAGGCAGAAGTGGTTAGGGGCAATCAGGCAGGTAGGCAGGCGAGTAGTTAGGAGCCAGCGGTCCCAGATTGTGAAAGGGATGTCCGACTGCCGATTTAGGCCATATCCCGCAGGCACACGGACATCCCCTGAGGGGTCCCAGATTGGAGGGGGTGCAGGCCGGGTTGAGGGACACCCCCAGCCCTCGTGCATGAATTTCATGCACCGGGCCACTAGTATATAAATAATGGGCTATGTCTACATTTCCTTGGATATAGGAAAAAATTTGGTTTGGGAATGTAACAAAAATGTGGAAGAAAGGTCATAGTGAATATAAGAAAGAATCATTTAGCTAAAAAGAATTACTGAGAAACACTGAGAAAAATGTAGGGATTACATAGGGAAATTGGGTAATCAATCAAAGCAGTTTCCTATGACATGTCCAGATATAAGAATGAATATGATGGAAGTACCTTACTTCTTCTTGAAAACACAACATGCTCACACATCAACATGCTCAACAACACACAAATCCAAACTGAGAGCGATTCTACACAATACCTGTCTCAGAAAATGTGTCACCGTCTTGATGTGTATGGAAAGACTGATAAAGGATCACAGATTAGAAAAGATTAATATTGAAGAACATAACACAAGGAAGTACAATAACTATATGCCAGGTGAGATTTTGAATTGAGTCATGGATTCCACAGGCAAGGAACGTGTACCACCAAAGGATCAGATTCCTACTCTCAAGGAATTTATAGTCAGAGGAGATGGTCACTGTGCTACTAATCACAGTATCAGATCAAATGAAATGGGTGTTAAATTAGAAGGTTAAGTCTGAGGAGTTATCGATTTTCATTGAAAAGACTGGAGAAATTCCAAGAAAGAGATGGCATTTGAGCATAAAAGAATGAGTTGGCTTTTTATAGGAAGAAAAAGGAAGTTAGGGTAAACCAGGCAGCAGAAATAGCGGAGCAGAGGCAGGGAGGTCTGAAAATTGCCTATAATTTAGCCAAAGCACAGGATGTGGATGATAACATTGATAGATGAGCTTGGAGTGTGGAAGGCTAAAAAAGTTGGATTTTCTTTTATAGCCTCAAGGCAATAACTGAATGTTCCTGATGAGTACTAGAACCACAGAGTTATATTTTAGGACAATAACACTGAGGTGTGTGGGATCTGTGAAGAACTTGCTATTCCTATTCCAAGGATACAGGAAGCTTCTGGGGGTGGAATTAGATGCAGCCAGTGTTAGGGGCCCTGGTCCTGCTTTATGGCTGGTCCTTATAGTGGGTGTGGGGAAATGATGACCAGTAATCCCAACAACATTAAAGTAGGGAGGAAAGTTTGGGAGTTAACACTTTCTGTATTGAGATCCCGGAGGCCCCATCTGGGGAATGCAGCCCAGCATTCAGAAAGGTCAAACATGACAAAACTCTGGGTCAGGTCAGGAAACACTAAATTGATGAGTGCAACCCAGAGGTGAGGGTTGGGTGGGGTGGGGGAACACAGTGACTAAAGGATTGGGGTACAGGGTCCAGCCCTCAGAGAAGAGAGCTGGCAATGGTTAGACAGAGCCCAAGTCAAACAAC